TGAAATTGTACATGTATTTTATAGAGAATAATAAAACAGAAATTTGGGCAAAGGCAACCAAAACTCCAAAGTTGACAAGATCCAAACGCTTTGATACTTTGAGCCTTCTGAGGATATTCAGAGGAATACTTTATTTACTCGTAAGTCACTATTGAGTTGATAACAATTTTGGGGGGTTGCTTACACAGCATTTTGACCTTTCTCACATGTGTAGTTTTCCACCACCCTTCATCCTATCCCCCCTTTCATTTCATCTTAACTCTGACCATAAGAAATCCAAGAACCCTTTCAAGGAGATTCCACAGAATAAAGAAGTCACAGTCCCACCAAACTCCACCTGTGACTGAAATGTCGCTCTCTGGCATCCTTGCCCTTTCAAATCTGAATTACTGACTATTCTATTACCATAGAAAGCAATTATCAATAATTGTTGTTGAGTAACAGTGATGCAAATTCACTTGAAACTTCAATTATTTCCTACCAGCACCTATACAGTCTTCCTTTCCTATGGTATATTTAGTGTAAACAGTTGCTGACAAAGAAACCCATGCATCCATTAGTAGGAGTTAAACTGAAGGTACAGCTTAAATTACTGCTTGTTGACATTCATGAGGAATGCAAATGCATGCTTCACTCTGGCTGTGAGGGCAATTCAACTGCTACAGCCGGGGTCCACCCATGACAAAGCGACAGCATGCTAAGACAAACCTGGAGTACACGTGCTGCTTTACTATTAAATTAACAATGGTCAATCCTGCAAAGTCACCTGGACTGTACAAAGTCAGAAAGGTAACCAAGTCTGCAAACCAGGTTCTGCAAAATAACTGAAGGCATTAGTCCTGGTCAAAGACTAACAGCAGTTAAGGCAGGCAAGGCAAACATGAGAAAGTGTGTTAATTATTAACAAGAAAAACTATTTTATGTTTAAGTTAATGATAGTTTGTGAAATGACTCATTATATGGGATTTTCACCAGGAAAGATTCAATGGTAATTCGATAATATTTTAAGATTATGAAAATGTTTAAAGAAAATAGTCAATAGAAGGTCATTATATCGTAAACATCATGTCAGTTTCTGGTATATGCCAGATATACGATGTATCTTCTTTTATCTCTCAGGAAGAATGTAGCAAATTATCTGTGCTTGAGTTCCTGGGTTTGACCACCTGCTGCTGTCAGAGCAAGCCAGTCCTCCTCTCCCTATGGGATTTTTCATTTACTATACAATATGGAGATGCAAAAGGAGGAATGAGACCATTAGAATGGGGGTGATAGGTCTGGAACTAAAGAAAAAGGCCACTGAACCTCTCCAATAGTGTCACCGCTAAAGCCAGAAATGCAGCTACCCAAGAGTAAGTGGAGACAGAGAGGGATTTAACATCTACCATAAACCAAACTCGGTTTGGAGTACTGGTTTAGCAACTGGAAGCTCTACAAGGTGTCAGGATTCTCCACAGAGGCAGATGAATTTATGGGTGCAAGAAGATGCCAAACGACCATCATTTTCTGGGACAATTCAAAACTTTTATGGTGTCCTTAGAAAGTCGACCAGTTGGAAAACTTGTCAAGTTGTCAATTTTCCGAAAATGTTCATAAACTATTGCAGTACTAAGTGGATGTTATCAAAAAGAAGCAAAAAGATGTTATATTCCAATTTAGAATTTACACTACCCAATTATACAAAATGCTGCCTGATAGGGGGCAGCTTTAAAGCAGTTCTTGACAAGTTCTAGTGCATTTTGCTGCAATGTACTGCACTTTAAGGACCATTCACACCTATGCATTTAAACGCACACTCTAAATGCATGTATACATGGTAGTCAATATTTTAATCAGTTCCATTTTACATCTGGGTAATGTGTGTTGGTCAAAAAAAGTTCAAGTCTGTTTGTGAACGTTTTTGTTTCTCTGGCAAATAAATGGTGCTTATTATCTTTTGTGTGTTGGTGATATCTCTATATGTGCTTTTGGATGCAACGGACATTAAGGGGCCTAGTGGTGACAATACCAGTACAGGAAAAGGTATTAAAAAACATGCGTTGGTGCATGTCACAAACACATATCAAAGCACCTTGATAAGACTTGTAAAAAAGAAGGAAAGTGTGAATGGAAAGGTGTGAATTCAACTTTGGCATGCATTAAAAAAGCAACAATAAATTCCAGAATACAGCAAAAGATGACATATTTTTCTAATGCAAATCTAACCTAAACCAAGCTATAAGCCTCCAGCTTAGGTGCCCCACTACATGCACTGTGTGTTTATAATGAATTATATTGCAGGCCAGATACCCACCTGTAGCTGGCTGGAGCATCCATACTGTATGAGTGGGGTGAAGGTGGTGAGCTGAAGCTCTGCATCAGTTTGCAGCTCGTGTCCCACCAGGTTGGGCATCTTGGTTACATTATAGCCCAGATTCTGGCACATGGAGATCCTGATTGGGTCACAGCGCCTTTCCTCTTCATCCCCAAAGCTGTACACTTCCACTGCCAGGCAGCACAGCGCAGGCAAGTAGAAGAGCAGAGACCACAGCATAGAACCCATTTTCCAGACCCCCTGATCCTGGACAGCATGCAACAACTGGGGCTGATATCAGCACACAGATCCAACAGACTTCTATCAAGTCCACTTCAATCTCCAGATCAAGGCAGCCTTGAATGCTGCAGAACCCAAAAGCCCTTTGAAAACGTTATAAGGTTCTTGTAGGGATTATCTTGCCCCTACTCCAGGTAGCCAGATCCTTCTTGGATTGTTTATGTTGCTCCTAGTCAAGGCAGACAGGTCCTTATTGGATGGTGTAACTTGCCCAAGTTCAGATAGCCAGGTCCTTTTTGGATGGTTTATTTTTCCTCTATTCAAGACAGACAGGTCCTTCTTGGATGGTTTAACTTGCCCCCAGTTCAGGTAGCCAGGTCCTTTTTGAATGGTTTAACTTGTCCCAAGTCCAGACAGCAAGGTCCTTCTTGGATGATTTAGCTTGCCCCTAGTCAAAGCAGCAAGGTCCTTCTTGGATGGTTTATTTTGCCCCTTGTCCAGCCAGCCAGACCCTTCCAGGATAGATTTATGTTCCCCTAGTCCAGGCAGCCAGGTCCTTCTTGGAAGGTTTAACTTGCTCCTAGTCCAAGCAGCCAGGTCCTTCTTAATGATTTAACTTGGTCCTAGTCCAGGCAGCAGGATCCTTTTTAATGATTTAACTTGCCCCTAGTCCATGCAGTAAGGTTCTGAATTGCCAACCACGAGCAGATGGACTTTAGAAGTAACAACATAAAGTTTGCAGCACGTTTTCAACTCGGTGTAATCCAGGAGGATGAGGCTGAGCTGTGCTATATAGAACAATGGTCAGCCTCCAGATCCTATGGCCCCAGTCGGAGCTGTCTAGCTGCGCTCTCCTGCAGGCTCACTGGCTCATATAGCCGGCTCTGCGCTGCTCCTGACTGTACTGAGAGAGGAGGAGGCAGAGGAGGGATGGATAGGGAGGCTGAGACTGCTGCTCCCAGGGTACGGTATCCATTGAGGCTCAGATCAGGCTAAGGATCTCAAGTTTCCTTCTTCTCTAAAGCTCAGGCTACACTGTTCTTTCATTAACTCCTCCAGTGCCAGAGAAAACTACATTGCAAACTGGCAATGGGACTTTTAAGGAGCTACAGTGATTAGTATGGACATGCACTCAGATATGCAAAAACAATTTATTTTATTAATACAGAAATAATAGAATACAACATAAATAGGTTTCATGCTTATTAAATGGTTAACAATCGATTGCAAAAAATACTACTCCAACATATGGTGCCCTCCAATTCTTGACCAGTCAGCCTTTTATAGAACCAATATATAGAAACTTTATATGTCATTTTATGCAGATTTTTCTGATGGTGTAGGGGTGATGCTCTGCACATTTCCCAGATCACTCAACCTACTTCATTAGGAGATGTCTGAAAAAGGTTTTATAGGACACAGAAATTGCACATTAAAGGCTTATTCCACCTCTCCATACTTAGGGTGTAACATGCAACATGGTCTGCAGCCCCCTATCCCCCAAACCGCCCACCCGAATTTATTCATAGGGTTCTTCTCCCTGCAGCATCTTGCGTTTTCTAAACTCATGAGTTGAGGTTAGGTTCACACCAGCACTACACCGCACGACACCCGGGACGCGCATCCCTGGTGTTGTGCGGTCCTGCACAATGCAGGCAGCGATTGCCACGTGGCCCCATTGATTTCAATGGGGTGACATCCGCGCAGCAATCGCAGAAGAAAGGTACAAGTACCTTCTTTTTGCGATACACGACGGCGTGACTGGGGTGCCATTAGAAAATAACAGCACCCACAGTGCGATTGGTTCACACTTTGGTGACTCCTGACCGCGCAGCAATCTGCGCGGAATCGTGCACGATTGCCGCGCGGTGAGGTGTCGCCTAGGTGTGAACGTAGCCTTTGTCAGCACCAATTCAGAGATGATTGGAGGATCTACAGCCGAGTGATACACAAATAAGATACATTTTTTTAAAATTTGATTAATGTGGCAGCATTTATTATTTTTATTGCAAAAGGTGGAATTAGCCTTTGGATATAACCATTTACATAAATGCAGCAACTTTTTAAAAAACATGTTTGTAATATGCTAACTCACATATGTGTTCAACCATGTACCACGGAGAGAGACAGGCCACAGCCTTGTCCCCATATTTAGAGGGAAACATTCCAGACCAGCAAGATAGATCTACTTTCTCAAAGAGGTCTGAAATATTCTCACACAATATGTATGTATCAATAAAAGAGGAACCTCAATATAAAAGAATTCCCAGTCTTTGTATGTTGGCAGCTTTTTTACCTATCTTACTAGATGTAATGAGGTCACCAGCACCGTCGATGTCCACATTATCAGTCCATCCTTTACTGATGTTAAATAAACAAGCTATCACAAAAGATCGCAATGTTTCGGAACCAGTGTGGTCCCTTCATCTGGCAAAACAATGTGACCTTGGTTCTGAAACGTTGCAATCTTTTGTGATAGAATGTCTGATGTCAGTAAAGGACAGACTGATGATGTGGATCTCGGTGTGCCTCATTACCTCTATTGTCTTTGCGGCGCCATCCACGGGTCATTTCGGCACCCACTGCAGTTGCAAGAAGACATACTTCGGCCTGGAGTGCGATTTGTCAGTCAAAGTACCGCAGCGCTGAATACTGAAAAATGGCCTGGATGGGAAGGGGGTTTAACACCGCGGATGTCAACTGGTTAACGTTACTTCTTATACTGCCTATGAAGGTCCCATAAGTTGGTCTCTTTACTTCTAACCAGTAAGTGTCTCCAGTGCCAAGCTGGCCAGTCCACCAGAGGTGGAAGCCTTCCCAAGCTCAGCCTCCTTTCCAACCAGAAGGGTTAATAAGGCTTCCTCTGTTGCTAAGGGAATTTCTCTCTAGAGATGTTCACACTGGTATCAAATGCACCATCCAGACTGTAATTTAGGGATTCCTAAGGATTTGGTCTGGGGTTGTGCGTGTTTGTCCTGCACTCAAGTTACACTGTGTGAAATGTCTTGGTGGCTGCTTTTACTGGAGGTCAACCAGAGAATTCACACTGTCCTCGCTATGTAGACACAAGATGGCCATTAGGCAGTACAGCAGTTCAAATGTGTTTTCATGCTGTTGTTTCTTGAAAACGTATGTTCGTTTCACCGTTTTGCCTCTACTAATCACGTGCGTCTTTCATGCATCTGACTGCACTGTCATCCTCAACATGGCGCGTATAGACGTGCGTTGTTTTCCTGCGTTTGAAGCACACATCAAACGCATTTTGTAGATTTCTAGTTCATGGTGCAGTGTGGATGACACCCCTGAGGCTGCATTTGACCTGCTCTCTGTTGTGTTTCTTTGGACACAGGGAGCCTATTAGGATGAGTTACCATTGCTGTCGAAGCAGGCCAAGCTCAGCTTTTGCTGCATTTTGAATTTCAGCGGCGCTGCATTAAAATGTCACCTACATGAGCCCACAAATGCCTACCTGAGCCTATACAAGAGACACCCATTGCATTTTATTTGCACCTCATTGTGATCAGTTTTCTGTCTACGCCATCATAGTATTTGATCATGCCTGACCAAAAAACTGTAAATATATCCAAAATACATGCAAATATGCTCGTGAAGTATGTAAAGCTTAACCCCAGGCAAACAGCTAAACAGAACTAAACTATACATACTGTACATATATGTCTGTGTGTGAACCTAAATATTTCTAATTCTGCTCAGCCTGTCTTGTAATCAGATGTAACAGCAAGCCAGGTCAGTCTTGGACCTCGCTGCACATTACCACTGAGCAATACAGCCTGGTCAGCATTCTGCTGTCTCCTCCTGTCAGCAAGCTTCCAGTGTTACATGGACAGCACTGTGCAAGTCAGCAGTGCCCGATTGTCTTATAATCAGTGGCGTAACAATCGCCATAGCAACCCAGGTGGCCGCTATGGGGCCCATGACATGCCCCTGATGCCGTGCGGGCCACCTGGGTCGCTATGGCATCTCAGGCTGCTGGCTGTCACTGGCGGGTGTGAGGAGGAACATGTCGCTATTAGATCACCGACAAGCTGTCAGGCGGAGCCCGGCAACAGAGGAGGTGGGGCCCGGCGACAGAGAAGGTGGGGCCTGCCAGCGACCAGGGAGGCGACAGCGGATCGGGGCTAACAGGTGAGAGGTGTGCAGCCCACCTGAGACCCTGCAGAGCCCACCATAGAGCGTATATGGCGGGCTCTGCGGGGTCACTCTCAGGTGGGCTGTTTGGGACATCAGGTGGGCTCTGCAAGGGGTTGTAACTAGAAATCACAGGTCCCCATACAAAATTTTGCTATGGGGCCCTGTGATATCTAGTTACGCCCCTGCTCATAGTGCTGATAACTGTCATGCCGTGGAGCTTTTACAGAGTTTTCTCCCTTCACTACTGGCGGCCAAATAGACAGGAGAAAGAAAGTAAGGCAAGTATAAGCAGCTTGTCACTACAGTGAACTGGTTACTTTGCCTCGCATGGGCGGATAAAGCCATTTGAATTATACATAAACCCCTTATTATTATTTGGCTTCTGATAGAAGTTATAACTCTTCTCTACTTGCTCTTGCTGGTGCGTGATAAATAAATGTGTTCTGTCGGGTATGATGGAGGAATCTGTTGCACGTTTTCCTTCTGACCATAGAAAATCTGTAGATAATTTATAGGTGTATGGCCAGCTTTAGAGATTAACCACTTCCGGCCCGCAATACGTCTATAGACGGCGGCCCGTTAAAGTGTTTAAAACAAGCTGCAGTAGCCGTGTTCTTGGTACCGCTTTTAACAGCCAGCGTTGGCTGTGTGGAGGTTGATGATTGGCCATTCTGATTAGGGTTGGGGCTATATATCAGCTGTGTTTATGTGCACTTACACTGTATGTTTTACCTGATGAAGGGGATCCTTTGTGACCCCGAAACGTTCGTTGTTTTTTACCACGATGCACGTTAATAAATAGACGTATTTTGCAAATTAGGAGTGCCGGTGTCTCTGCTTTAGCTTACCCGGCGTCTGTACAGGCGCCGGATCGTTTGTACCGTGCGGCGCCCCCACC